GGCCCGCGACGACCTGTGGAGGAAGCTGTCCGAGGTAGGAGCGCCGCCGCCATTGGAGCGAGCCGCTCGTCACCAAGCTCCTTCCGGCGTGCCGGCCTTCTTTTCTTTGGACGGAAGACGCCCCCGGAGCTCGGGGCCCAAATTGACGGCGCCCTCTTTGTGCGCAGGCCATGCGCTCCGAAGGGCGGGACATCGACATCGGGGCCGTGATGGACGGGTGGACTCTGCAAATGGGCTACCCCGTGGTCACCGTCGCCAAGAACCCGGCGGAGGAGCGCGCCGTCGCCGTCAGCCAGGAGCACTTCCTGTACGGCGGGGGCGGGAGCGGCAACGGCGGGTGAGGTGACCCGCGTGGCGGGGGGGGCGCGGCCCGGGTTCCCTTTCGCCGGCCTCTCTGCGGCGCCGGCGTTGCCCACGGTGCCGTCATTGATTGCCGTGTTTCTCTTTCCTGCTTGGGCAATATTTGCTTTCCCCACTCCAATGTTTGGCCTGTTATTCTGTCGAGCATTTTCGCTCGCTCCCCGCCGACATCGACCAGACGGGCTACTTCCGCGTCAACTCCGACCTCCGGAACTGGAAGCTGCTGATCCGCCAGCTGCGCAGCAACCCCCAGGTCAGGCCGCCACGCCGCCCGAGCGACCCCGCCGGCGAGCCGATGCGAGCGCGTGATTCCGTGTGACGCAGGTCATCTCGGTGGGCAACCGCGCGGGACTCATCGACGACGCTTTCAACCTGGCCAGGTGGGGAGCGCAAAAAAAAAGCCGCGGTCGCGACGGCGCCGCCGTTCAGGCCAAGTTGACGTCGCGTCGTAAGCGGCGCGATGTGGTGTCGCAGGGCGGGTTACCTGCCGCAGGGCGTGCCGCTGGAGTTGATGGGCTACCTGCCCGAGGAGGCGTCCTTCCTGCCGTGGCACGCCGCCAGCCGGGCGCTCTACCAGCTGGACAAGCTGCTGGACCGCACCGACGACTACCACCTCTTCAGCGTGAGACGCTCCTCCCTCGCTCGGCTTCGCTTGCCGACCCATCCGTCCTCCCGCAGCGACTTTCTCTGCGTCCCTTTGCAGGACTACGTGCTCAAGCAAGTGGCGGCGCGCTACCATCAGATGGGCATACCCGGCAACACGGCCGACGACGAGGACGCCGTCCTGCAAGTGTCCCACCAGACTGAGTAACGCACACACACACGCACGATACAATCCATCAATCCATTCTCTCTCTCTCTCACACTCCATCAATCCATTCTCTCTCTCTCTCTCTCTCTCTCTCACACACTGCTCATGTGTACAGGGAGTTGCAGAGGGAGCTCATCATGTTAGCGTGTAGCTTTGGAAACAAACAGTGCCACCGCCAAGCTGTCGCGTACATCTCAGACTGGATCTCCAGCAACAAGAACGGGTACGCACGCACTCGCGCCGCAGCGCCAACTGTGTGTGTGCGTGCGTGCACGCACACGCCGTTTAAATGTATTCTAGTGAAAGGATCTAAAAGACACACGGGCAGGCACGCGCCGATTGGCCGTCCCAAGCGATCGCCGGCCCGAATCGTGAATAACGTGTGCGTGCGCGCGTGCGAGCCGGCCGTTGACCCGCATCGTCACGGAAGCGTGACGCGAGCGAGCTCAGCTGGCAGACGAACGGAAGCGGGAGCCTTGTGCGCGCAGGATCCCCCCCAACATCCGCGACGTGGTCTACTGCACGGGCGTCAGTCTGATGGACGAAGACGTGTGGGAGTTCATCTGGATGAAGTTCCACTCGTCAAACGCCGTCTCGGAGAAGAAGATTCTGTTGGAGGCGCTGACGTGCTCCGACGACGCCTTCCTGCTCAACAGGTGCGCGCTCGCCCGCGCACGGTCTCCGCGGCTCTCCGCGTCGTCTGACTCGCCTCGCCCGGCAGGTTGCTGAACCTGTCGCTGACGTCGGAGCTGGTGGCCGAGCAGGACGCCATCGACGTGATCGTCCGCGTGGGGCGCAACCCTCGGGGCCGCAACCCGGCGTGGCGCTTCTTCCGCGACAAGTGGGACGTCCTCAACGCGCGGTGAGTCGCGCCTCGGCGCGCCCGGCGCCGCCGCCCGCGTCTAACGCGCCTCCTGTGCGGCCGGCCGTCTCAGCTACGGCGAGGCGCTCTTCATGAACTCCAAGCTGATCGGCGGCGTCACCGAGTTCCTCGACACGGAGAAGGAGCTCGAAGAGGTACCGGCGCTCGTCCGCCTCGCCGTCGCCGTCGCCCGTCGCTCGCTGACCCCGACCTTCCTTCTGCCTCTCGGCCCGCAGCTGAAGGAGTTTGTCCGGTCCTGCGGCCCGGGGGCGGGGCCCGCGTTGCCGCGGGCGCTGGAGATCGTGGAGGGCAACGTGCGCTGGCACCGCCTCCGCCGCCGACACTTGTACCAATGGCTGCGCAAGTCAGGGAGGGGTGGAGTCGGGTGGGGATGAAAATTAAAAAAAAAAAAAGCTACTTACTTAGCAGCAGTCAGGTCAGTTAGCCGTTAGCAACGAGTGACCGACATGACGCTAAGATTTCAATGGGCTTTTTTGTCAAGTCAGGCTGAGAAAGGATTGGCAGCCCTTCAAAATAAAAGCATGCAAGTGTGTTCTTTTCTTAAGTGGAGTGTTTGTACCCCCCAAAAAGACCCTGGAAGCCCTGCCCAATCCAACACAGAATCCACAAGGCCAACCCCCATGCCAACCCCCCCCACACCCCTCCCGGGCCTTGCGTGGGCTCACTTTTATGTTTGGAGGACAAACGAAGGAAGAAGGTTCTGACTGAACTGGACTGAAACGTCCGCCGGAACCTCGACCGGCTTGTGTCCCCATAGCGAGAGCACAACTGGACTCATTTGGTTTTCACCGCGAAAGAGGAAAGCTCGGCTTTGGCAGTTCCCCCTTTCGGATGACTCCGAAAAGCTTTGGAAGCGGATCCCTTTGCCGATCCTTTGGAATGCCGTCGCGGGCGGGGGGGCGACCGACGAAAGAATTTGTTCCCCAAAGTGTCACCGAAGAGCCCAAAGGTGCTCGCGATTGAAAATGTAACGTGGTGGCAAGCGGAAATTTGCCGGGCCCGCTTCTTTCCTGTGCTTTGCTGTCTGCCGATTGGCCAATAAATGCAAACGTTGACGCCTCGCTTGGCTTTCGTTTCACGGCCGCAGCGGCGGCTCTTCCGCGAACGGCCGTTCGCCGCCGATCCCAAACCATCCCCGACGAAGCGGATCGCTCAGCCGCGGTTTGATCGTTGCGGTCGCCGCCGTTGCACGCGCTAACCTTTGTCCGACGGTTTTGCGCGCGAGCTCATCCTCTTCCTCGTTCCGACAGGCTTTCGGCGTGACGCGGTCCTCCGAGACTCCTCGCTCACCCGAAGGCAAGATTTGCGCCGGAGACGAGGACGAGGAGGTCGACACCGAAGGCGAGCGCCAATGTCGAATGTTGCCAAAGGACGAGGATGGAAGAGTTGAGCGGAGGAAAAGGCCTCGCGCCGCTCGTCCAAGATGGACACCGCGCGCTCTCGTTTTCCCGCAGGCAATGAGCGAGCGGACACAAGCGTGCGCGGGCGTGACAAATGAGAGCGGTCGGCGCGAGGAGCCGATCGGCCGATGGATGGCGCCCAAGCGGCGGCACGGCCCGGTTGCCTTCCACCGCTCGCTCATCTTGAGCCGAGTCCCACCGAGTCCCACCGAGCCAAAAGCAAGCGGAAAGACCAGCACAAAAAGCGGAAAGAGCGGCACACCTCAACGACGCGGAACTTCGTGTCGGGTCCTCGGCCAAGGTGGAGCAAAGCATTTATTTTAAGAGGTGCCACGTTAGAATCGG